GTCAACTCCAATGATCAATAACAATTCCAAATTGTTTCAAAAAAATAAAAATAACAATAACAATTTCAAATATCTTCTAAAATTATGGAATAAAATGAGGCATCACAAGTCACGAAACAATGAGAAAATACGAGATTGAACAAAATATAAATTAAAATATAAATTTGAAATTTGAAAAATTGAAAAACACAATTTTAGAAATTAACATAAATTTAGAAAATAAGAACAATTTCTCTCCAATTTCTCTTGAAAATTCAACAAAGTTTTCCACCAAAGAAGTAGAAAATAGACATATGAGATATTGAGAATTAAGCACATGGATATGATCAACTTGACACTCGGAGACACTAAACAAATGAAAGAAATTGACACATGGGATTAGGGTTATTTAGATCTTCCATATTTTGACACCTAGTTGGGCATCTAATTTGGATAATGTTCATAATAAAATAAACATTATTATTGAATTAAAAGTAATTACACCATTAGAATTGCAGCCGCACAAATTCGATACAATCAAGAACACGTAGGTAGAGATCGAAAACAATAACATTAATAAAGAAAGAAATTTTAGAAATAAAACAAACAAATAAAAATCCTTTTGTTTTATATTATTTTTATTTTTTGCATAAAAGAAAATGAAAAATTCGAACTAGAGCCATGGGAAAATGACATAGATAACCTAAAAAAGTTTTTAGTTGGCTCAATTGACTTCAATTATAAAAATTGACTCAACTGACCCAATTTTAACTTTTCTGACATTTCAGAGAGTATGTAATTACAAATATACCCTCGAATTTCAAGGCCACAACCACGACCGTGGTATGACCATAAATTTGGACAAAATGTAAAGTACATCTAATTCACGGCCGTGGTCTTAACTTTCAAGGTCATGGTAAAGCAAACAATTTAACCACGGTCAAACCTTGCCCATTAGTTGTCTTTCATGAACACCACGGCCGTGGTGTTATTTTCAAAGCCATGGTCAAGCTAACAATGAGCTAGGTTATTTTCATGGCCATGGTCAAGCTAACAACGAACTAGGTTATTTTCATGGTCATGGTCAAGCTAACAATGGACTAGGTTTTCATGGCCATGGTCAAGCTAACAATGGGCTAGGTTATTTTCATGGCCATGGTCAAGCTAAGAATGAGCTAGGTTTTCGTGGCCACAGTTAGTGTTAGCTTGACCATGGCCATGAAAATAACCTAGCTCATTGTTAGCTTAACCATGGCAGTGAAAAATAGTACCACGGTCGTGGTGTTCATGAAAGATAACTAATTGGCTAGGTTTGACCGTGGTTAAATTGTTTGTTTTACCATGGCCTTGAAAGTTAAGACCGCAGCCGTGAATTAGATGTATTTTACGTTATGTCCAAATTCATGGTCGTACCATGACCATGGTTGTGGCCTTGAAATTCGACAGAATCAATATCCTCGTTCAATTTGCACGGGGATTGAAATTCGACAGAATCAAATTCACGGTCGTACCACAACCATGATCGTACCACAGGCATTGACTTACGTAACTTTTGACCCACAACAATACATAAAAGTTCAGAAATTTCATTCACTCCAACTACATACATCATATTCTAGACGAATCGAAAACAATATTATGAACCAATAAAAAACTAACCTCGTCCAAGATATCAAAGATGAAAAATTGACTTCCTTTAAGGTATTCAAGTTGAAAATTGTTGGAAAAGGCGTGAAAGTTCTTCAAAAAAATGTGAAAGATGTGCATGAGGACGATAAGTATTGAAACATACTTTTATTCTCTGCAATATGTGCGAATGTGTGGGTATATATTAAATGATAGTACAAAAAATTGGTGGGAAATTAATAAGTTCGTGGTACTTTAATAAATTCATGACCATGAATCAAGTGGAACTCGCCCATGGTTTTAATTACATCAACCTACATGATTCCTTGCCTGATTCGTTGTAGTTTAATTAATTCAGGGATATATTCGTAATTACATACCATTTGAAATGTCAGAAAAGTTAAAATTGGGTCAGTTGAGTCAATTTTTATAATTGAGGTCAATTGAGAAAACTAGAAACTTTATGATCTATGTCATTTTCCCAGAGACACCCTCTTAGCAACACCCAATTTGGGGCTCTTCAGAATGTAATACTAAATCGAAAACACATATTTACCCGCGTAGCTCTCCTCGATAATGTAAATGGGTTGGTTTCTAAACCCCAAATCCAGCTCAAGAACGCAGAAATGACAGCAACAAGATGCTTGGAAACAGACTATTGGTCTCTAAGGATATCGGTTGCAGGTGCAGCTATCGTCGAAGCCAATTCCGATAGGGATTGTCGAGAAAGAGAAGGTTGAATCGGCGATTCCAGGAGGCGAGATTTGGCTAGAGGGGAAAGGGTCGGATTGTTTCTTGGGGAAATTGAGGCGCCATGGGTCGAGCTCGAAGAAGTGGCCGATCATGGAGAGGCCGTCCTGAGCCAGATGATGAGGAGAGGGATTTTGGGGAGAGGGGAAATTGAGGCTTGGGCTTCGGGACACTATTTGCCGATCAAACCGCAGCAGGAAATGCTATTCGGGYAGTAGTGGATCAGGGTATGCAACGAGCGGAAGTCATGATAAAGGGCCCAGGTCTCGGAAGAGATGCARCATTAAGAGCTATTCGTAGAAGCGATATACTCTTAAGTTTCATACTGGATGTAACCCCTATGCCACATAATGGCTGTAGGCACCCTAAAAAACGACGTGTGTAAAAATAAACATTGAAGAGAAATTTCAAGAGAAATAAATAATTCAATGATTTGATCAAAAAAATATTACTATGGTTCGAGAGAAAATAAGAGTATTAACTAGGACACTAAAGTGGAAGTGTGTTGAATCAAGAGCAGACAGTAAGCGTCTTTCTTATGGACGCTTTAAGGACAACGGTACCTCTCGTGCCTCGAATATCTCCACAATAGTAATTTCAAGGCGCACCCGGGCGACAGGCAAGGCTATTTCGCCGAGGTACCCTGCAAGGTGTCCAAGCGAGCACCTTCAATCGAGCGCTCACCCTAACATGTCTTAGTGCACCTCTTGCTTGAGGCAAGGCGATCTGCCTCATTTTATTATTATTTTTATTTTATCTTTTAAGGTTAAGAAACTATTCTATCTCTCTACCTCACAAAAGAAATACCCAAACTCTAATTTCTCACTCTTTGCCTGTTGACTTTCACCCTCAACTCACTCACCTGCGGTCTTTGACCATCGTTGTCGCCGCCTCCTCCTCCTCCAACATTCACTCTCGCTCGAAGGTTTCTTTTTTTATTTTTTTATTCTTTTATCTTATGTATTCCTTTTCACCTATTTCATTTCACACCAATGCCAATGGTGGTTAGTGATGATGATGACGACACCGAAGAAGAAGAATTAGAAAAAGAAGATTGTGAGGATGTCCAAGATGAAGAGAATTTAGATTTAGATGAGGATGATGATATTTGATCACTTACCTTTACTTTTATTCTATTCCAGACTCCAGTATTTCTTCATGTTACTTGTCTTTGTTGGGAACTAATAGAATTTGGTTGTTTTATGTATCTTGTTGACATTTACCATGGCACTATTTTGGTATTGAGTCTTTAGACTATGTTTACTATATAAATTTATGCACTATATATAATTTTATTTATTTATTAAGGTGCGCTTCGCTTCAATCAAGCATCACCTCTCACCTCAAGACGATCAAAGGACTTATCGCCTTGCGCCTAAAAAACACTGCTAAAAAATACCTCTAACCTCCTGAATTAATCCAAAAAACCATAGTCATTATTAATAGATACCAAACTTCATTTGCAGCAATACTTTACGTGACACTGTCTAAAATCACACAATAAAAGGTATAATCCCGTACTCTTGTATCTTTTGGTCTTTCAAAGCTTCCTAGGGACTTCTAGTATTTGTGAGAAAGCACCTGTCACCAAGCAACAAAACAAACATACTATAGAAATCTATGTTTGAAGACTACACTACTGTAAATTTGACATTACATAACATTTAAGAAAACGTCATGAATAGATAAGGAAATTAGAGCAAACATGACGCTTGAAGGCATTAATAAGAAAAATGTATCAAACTCCTAGGCTCACCCAAACCAACTTCTAAATACAGTTCAGACCATGAACTCATTCCTCCATTTGCTTTAACCTTCGAAAACATAAAATATTCCAACTAAATAAAAAAGTAATGAACTTTATAATATGCTAATGGAACGCTTGAAGGCCTGCCAACGAACTGAATACTGCAGAATGAAAGACAAACCAAATATTGGCAAGAGATTAAAAGAACTTATACCTATATATTACCAAAAAGGTATATATTATTGACCAAACCATTAACTGGCAGATTTCTTGACCAAACTAGATTTATTGAGATGGCTATCACTTTGTTCGAAAAAAAAATCACCCTCACATCTTTGGAGGATCGATCTGTTCTATCCCATCATCAACTACTCCTGTAAGTTGAGGTTAATGATGTTAGACTAAAAACATAAATATTTGAAACTATGCTATTTTTACAATTCCTTTTTATGTAAGAGAAGATTTCGACAAAAGTTTTACCTGATTGGGATCAACCACCATAGTCTCTAAATTGGGGCAATTCTGCAAAAATGCAAATGTAGCGATTGGATTGGGACAATGCTGCAAAAATGCAAATGTAGTGATTGGCAACTCTATCACTATCATCTTCTTGTTCTCCTTTGTTTTCAACTTCAAATGTCTCAAATTATGAAAAGAAAATACGTCTAAAGGAGCGGCCATATTAATCACCTTGTAAACAAATAAGTAAAGAAGTTAATAAGGATTAGGAAGTATACTAAGAAAAAATGAAGGATCAAGAAATTTGAGATACCTCCATTGCATTCAAAGGCAATGTGAAAGACCTTGCCTTATGTAACTGTCTAAGCAACCGAGAGAAATTTTGTATACACATTTTCTTGTGCGAGCCTTCAAAATTACAGTCTTCAAAAGACCTTGCCTTTGTGTATGCATGCAAATTTTGAAGCAGACTTGAGAGTGGGTAAGACATTGCCAAACTTAAGAGTTTTGAGACTTGGTGCAAATAACTCAACTTGTGGAAGAAGCACATAATTCCAAATTCTCAAGTTTTGGAGCAGAAATAGTAGCACTGTCAAAAAGATAATTAACCAAAACCAAAGATTCCAAATTTGGACAACCAGAGAACATCTCAATTTCATTGTATTTACGGTCATACCGATCCCCCCAATCACATTCAATCTCTAAAATTCTCAACGATGCTGATTTCAAGGCTCCACAGTCATCAACGAACCCACATTTAATCTTCAGCACAAGGAGTGATGAACATGTTGATAAACCACATGGCCAATTATAGTAAATAGTTTTATAGGTACTGATGCAAAGTTCTTGAACCACGTGACTAGCGTAGCATATCAACCATTCTATTAACGACACCGTATCGTCAGAATCCCTTGAGCAAGAGAAATTCAATGTTATAATATTTTTGCATCCATGTTCAGATAAAACTCTCAAGATGAAGCGCTCAAACGATGGTTCTTTTGGATTAGAAGCACTGCTATTTCTGATTGACTGTTTAAATGGGTAGGAGTCGAAATCAAAGTTGAGTGTGGGAATGTCAGTCCAAAGGGTCTTCCATCTTTTTGATAGAACACAAGTCTGCACAACTTGCCTTGTATTTAACAAGGATAGAATGGAATGGAGAAGAGAATCTGGTAGGAGGCTGATTCTGTCGAGACCCGTCTTCTTCTTCTTCTTCGACGACATTGAATGGAGAATTCAGAGACTCCAAACTTTAAATACAACTAGATATAGCATATATAACAGAGATGCGAAACACTTGTTAATTTACCCACTAATTTTTATCACTTTTTTTTCTTGAAAAAGAGCTTAAATAACACTAAAAATAATGACAATAGGAACTTTGCTCAACGATAATGGACAGCTATCTCTAGCCAAGAGGTAAAAGTTCAAAATTTCCACACACTCGTTGCACTAAAAAACATTAATAAATAATGAATTATGTTAAATGGCCAAAAGTTTGAGAACTTTTTTTTCTTGGAGCGGAGGTTTGCTCCCTATTGGGGCACTCGCAGCCATCCCAAAACTTGGACCCAGGGTTTTTGTCGTTAAGCCAACAAGAAAGTAAATTCGAACATAAACCTCTAAACTAGTACTCAAAGACTCCAAGTCCTTGCGAATTGGAGTGACTATTAAGTCTCAAAAGTTTGAGAAATTTAAAAAAGTAGGGAAAAGGGAAAGTTTGAAAGGAAAAAAGAATCATAGAAAGAAGAAAAAGAGGAAAAGTACAAAGATACAGAGATGAAAAGGATGCTAAAACCTACACTCCAAAAACCCTTAACCCTAATCTAAAAACCATTTGTTTCCAAAGACTCAAGAGAAACCCTAACATTGCAATGGCCTCAATTAACTACGATTTCTTCAAATATTTCATAATTTATTCAAGATTGCTTCTTGACCCGAGGAAGAAGGCTAACAGTGCTCGAACATTGCTCTCTGGGCAATATGGTTTATTTTCTTGAATATCTCTGCCCCTCTTTTCCTTTTTCTTTTTTTTTCATAAAATGTTTTTAGAAAAGCAAGTAAATAAAAATAGAAAGATAGATTAAGAGGAGCATAATGCACATACCTTGAAACTTTGAGAGCACAACAAATGGTGAGGACGACCAGAGAATGAGCGGGAGAAAGATCAGGAAGGAACGGTTCCTTTTCTTTTATGTAAAAAGAAAGAAAGTAAATAAAATAAAAGGATTTTTATTTATTTTATTTTTAAAATTTCTTCAGTTATTAATGTTATTGTTCGATATCTTCCTTGCGGATAATTTTAAAATTTCTCAATTAATGGTTAATCAATAATTCAAATCATTATCTGCAAAAAAAAATAATAATAATTCAAATCATTATTGTCTTATTTTAAAATTAATAATAATCAACAATGTTTTTTCCATAGCATCAATTGCAATCATGACAAAAAAATATATAATCTTCACGTATGTTGTACTAAAAAAAATATTAAAAAATATAATAATAATAAAATTAAAAATAAAAAGAAGAAGAGGCCCCCATAAAAACTCTTTAATAGGTCAGTTTATAAACCATATTTCACAAATATTAAAAGTTTTCGAATTCTTACCTATTTTGATTTTCCAAGATTATTACTGTTTTATTTGATTACATGTTTTTTATTTATTTAAATGATTAGATTTGATTTTTAACTTTTTTTTCCTATTTCGATTTCAAATCTTTTTATCTGATACCCAAACTAAACAAATCTAATATTTTTCTGGTATCACAATTAATACTAAATCCTTAGTTTTGTAATCAAAATTAAAAAAATTCCTCTCTCACCGATTTTTTTTACTGTGATTGATGATTTCTCACGAAAATTGTGGGTTTTTACCCTTAAGCACAAAAATGAAGTTTTACTATGTATTTGTGTAGACGGGAAGAAAAATTAAGATACTCAGAACTACTAACAAGGGTCGGATTTCAAAAAGCTGTGCAAAAGCTGGGGAATTGAAAGACATCTTACCTAGCAAATGCAATCCAATACAATTACAAGATAAACCTATATGATAAATATAAAATATATCCAACTATTAAGTTCCTATAAGTACAAAAAATGGTACGCAGTGCTGTAATTCCTTTGCTGACAACCCACGACAAACAAACAGATTTGATGACACATTAATTTACGATAGATTTGCTATTGCCTTCCGATCGGCGACTAAACAAACCTCGGGATAAACGGAGTGTTCGGTCAACGGGCGGCAGACGACGAAGAAGAAACTATGATAGTTTTCTCCGACGACGAAGAAGAAGCTCGAATGGATGGAAACAATGACATTTGTGGGAGGAGAGCAAACGAGAAAGGAAGAAGAAACGACGAAAGAAGGATGATTTTTTGGAAAATCTACAATAATGGAGGATTTTGGGAATTTGTGTTGTATTTTGGGACTTGGTAATTTTTATTTTTGGAAAGTCTAATTAAGTATAAAATAAGAGATTTAAAATTTAACATTCAAAATAACCAATTTTAAATTTCAAAAAATAATTAATATTTAGGTGTAAACATAAAAGGATATAATGGTAAATTGATGATACTATCTTAAATAAGATTATTTTAGGACAAAAGTGTAAATTTTATACATTAAATTCTTTTTATATAATTATAGTGTCTAAATAGGTTATCAATATACTAATAAAAAAAATTACTTTTTATATAATTATAGTGTAAATATGTCCCAGATCAGGGAGAGAACTGTAGTTGTGGTGGAATGAAATAAAGAGGGGAGCATTTTATAAGAGGCGCTCTCCTCCCCTTCCATGAATCTTGGGAGAGGCGCTCCCTTTCACTCGAGCGTGATTTTTCTTGTCCTTCCTTCCTACTTTATTTTAAATTTTTATTATTATTTGAATTTTTTTATTTTGATTAAACTTACCGTACCTTTCTTTTCAAATTTAATTACAAAATTTTAATTTTATCCGCACAATTTCACTAAATCCTCAAATGTCGTTTTTTTATTAATTAAATTATTTGTCCTAGTTCAAGAATTATAACTATTTGTATATAATAAAATTTTATATTTCAAATTTTCTAAAATTATTTCATCGTCTATATCCTATTTAATTTGTAACTAAATCTGAGATTGAATTACGAAGTATAAATATAACCCTTTGCAAAAAATTATAAATATAACATAATTCAAGAACATTGAACTTCAATTTCTAGTTCAATTATTTCCATAAATCTTCTTCAACATTTTCATCGGCTTCAACACATTTTCATAAGTAAATTATTCATATTTTTTCATACGATGCGTTAAAGTGATCAATATATCTTAATTAAGCTACAATTAAAATTTTATTTACTAATTCAAATAATATCCATCAATTTTCAAAATTTTCGTAATTTTTTTCAAAATATCCGTCGACATCGACATTTCTGTAAAATTGAGACCTCAACATTTCTGTAAAATTGAGACATCGACATCGACATTTTAAACATTGGCTAGAAATATATATATAGGTAGATTTTTAATTTTAATCATAATTTAAAAAATAAAAAATATCAAGAAGTATTATTCTATTCATTGTCATTTACAATATGAAATATATCCCCGCACTTATTATAGTATACATGTAATAAAGGTTGGATACAGATTCCAAGTTGTAATAATAAATTGCACCAAAAGAAAAAACGTTGTTGAAAACAGTGAAGATATACTTTCACCGACCCAACTATGCCTTCTCGTCTTGCGCTGCCATCCATGCATTTTGGCACTTTTCATAAACCACTGCATTGCTCTCTCTCAGGATATAAATGTTGCCGGTTGGGATTATGGAGCCAAAACAGGAAACACATGTCACATGTCCTATTAAGAAAATGATTTTTCAACACTATTACCAATTCCGATCGAGTGTAGGATATTGTTGTATTACAATATTGTTTCCCTAGAATGAGGATATTTGGCCTCTTAGAGTCTTCATGTTAAGCTTTCATTTGTACAGAATCCAAATAAAAGAGATTTGTGAAAATGATTCTATATCCCGTGGGTTTAGTGAGTGTTTTTCATTCCTGTACCTAAGTATAATGCGTTATAATATTTAGAAGCTAGATGACTTTTGTTGGGAGGTCTAGAGGATATTTTTTGGAAGAGTTTTGTATTCTAATCCTTAAACAATTATCAGTGAATTACCACATCTGAGTGGAAGACTGGACGTAACTTTTATAGTGAACCAGTATAATTTGTTGTGTCGTTATTCTTGTGCTTTTACCGTTTTCTTTCTATTTTCATATATTTTGGTTGTGTTTGGATATTTATGTTAAAGGGGAAATTATTCAAGGTCTTGAATTTCCCAACACTGCGTTCAAAACTCTTCCGAAGTACCAAGTTTCTCTTGTTAACTTCCCCTCAAAATTGACCTTTTAATTCTGATCCTTTCAACAATGTCCAACAAGAATGACGTAGACAGAATCAGCCTTGTACCAGATTCCCTTCTTCACGGCATTCTCTCATTCTTGAACACAAAACAGGTTGTGCAAAATTGTGTTCTTTCAAAACGGTGGAAAACTCTTTGGATTGATATACCCACTCTCAACTTTGATTTCCCCTCCTACCCATTTAAAAAAATGCTCAATTTTTGACTCCTGCCACCCAAAAGGAAGATCCTTTCGGAACTTCTTCATCTTTAGAGTTTTATCTCAACCTCGTACCAAATATATTCAAAAATTGAGTTACGCTTACCTGACATCTGACGAAGGGGATCTCGTGATGACATTCTTAAGCTATTCGCAATGCAGAAGGGCTCAGGAACTTTCCTTTACGATCTATGATGCAGATGAAGCGGTATGGTCATGTTTGTTGGCTTTCAAATAGCTAACTGTACTCAACATTTCGTGTAGGTTTGTAGATAATTTGGCATCCTTGATTTTACCTTCTTTGAGAACTTTAGTCATTAAAAGGGTATCAGACCTTCTATGGGAAGAGGAGGACTACCATTATGGCTACGACGATTGTGAGGATGAGGACGAGAAGGAGGAAGATGTAGAATTAAATGAAGAGACATTCTTAGGTTGTCCAAATTTGGAATCTTTAGTTTTAATTGATCGTCTTTCGAACATTGCTTGTGTTTCTGCTCCGAAACTTGAGAATTTGGAGGTAAATAATTCTCTGCAGGATACCCATTAAGATTTCCAGAACTTGAGTTATGTGTCCCAAATCTCAAAAGTATCCAGTTTAACAATGTTTTACCTTGTGTAAAATAAATCTGCTTCTGACTTTTTGTGCATAGACAAAATATATATAGAAGTTGATGATTATGAATCCATTAGAGGCCCAAGTCGGCGACGGATGGAAGAAAATATCTCTCAGTTGCTTGGAGTTTTTCATAATGCAACTTCTATTATGCTGCCTCCCAATACGACACAGGTACTAAAAAGCTTCATGTTTTGCCTTTCTTTTTATGCATATTGTTCTACAATCGTCTAACTTGTGTATTTATTATTTCTGCTCACAAGGTTCTGTTTAAAGCTCCTTCTCTAAGCCAGTGTTGTTTTCGTAATTTGAGGCATTTGAAGTTCAAAACAGAGAGAGGACCAAGGAGATGATAGATATGCCAATTGGTCCAAACACAATCTCCAATTTCATAGAATGCCCCAATTTACAGACTTATGCGATTGATTCAAGAATAACTAAATCATTAAGTCAGCTGAATTTACAGAACAAATTTTAGTATTTTATCAGCTGCTGCTGCTTGAGGAAGGTAAGATTTTGGGCATATGATTAGGAGATATCAGAGCTTGAAGTTGCTGAATATGGCTGCCGAGGAGGATCTCCTTTTACAACTTTTATGTGATTTTTTATTTTCTACTTGTTGGGTTATGTTATTTCTTTTTATAATTTGATTATTTCCAGCATAAGAACATCTAATTAGTACAAATTTTTGTTACCCTATGGAATTTCTTTTTGGTTCTGTTACTTTCCTTCTTGTATTTGAATTCTAGACTACGAATACTCTTATTAATTATAAAGCTCTGTTACTCCTTTGTTCACTTTTTTTTTTAAGTACAATTCCTATTTTGTTTATATATTTACTCTTATATTTGAATTTAAGCATAGGAAGTTGTTTTATTATATAACCTTTTCATCTCATTAGCTAAAAAAAAAAAGAAAAAA